TAAAAATGTAAAAGATGCAACTCTCAAATTACCAACTTTTCTAATATCATTCAAAATAGTAGGGTCCAAATATTGCATCATATTGAGAAATTTTATGCTTTTGTCTGTTACAGCACTCAATGTAAAAAAAAAAAAACAGAGGACCCCAGCAGTAATTAGTGAGATTAAATACAGTGTATATGGTACTTTTTTAACTTTTTTGTATGATTCGTGTCTAAAAAGCCAACAGTCTTTCCTTGGTCTTAAACTGGAATAATATTTATTGCTAGTGCAAGCATCTCATATAGTTGTTTAATGCATTCAAACTTTAAATGTAATTGTGTGATGTCATCATCACAGTTTAGACTAGTGCAACAGTTACTAAAGGTTTGTTCTCTACACATATACAAAGTGCCGAATAGAACTTTACTAAATTTCTATATTTTTCGATTCAGCAAATAACATTTATGGTGATTATTGAACATATTGTAAAGTATCAAGAGAGAGCTCAATTATATTTAATGATCTTTTTTTTAATAAAATATTTAACTATTTCTAATTGCATTTAAAGTATCAGAATTAAAAATGCTTGTGAAATAAATTTAATCTATCAAAAAAACTGTTCCACTATCAGTACAGGCAGAGCTTTCGTGAAGACATATGCATTCACACATTTCCAACATTCAAATATAACATTATGAAATTTTAAGTCCTAATTAAACTTCTAAACAATAATACCCAAAAAAAATGCTAAAGTTATTTTAACAAAATATTATTTATTTAAAGATTTTTTTACAAAAACAATAGAAGATTTCAAACTGCGAACAATAAACTCAACACAAACCCCAAACAAATCAAGTACAGTTAATGATCTTTACCACAAAACTAAACCTATTACAATACATAACAGGCACTGCATATGCACAGTGAATTTACCCATTTACAAAACAGCACTGGCTAAAACCCAAGAAAGAAACTAGTTATTACAGATAACACAAGAAACAAAATTGTTCTAGTGAGATTTTTCAAGATACTACATTTTTCAATACGAGGTATGCTGGAAAATAAAATATGCTATCTTAATTCACTGAAATAATAATAGTTCTTTGAATATTTAAAACCCCCGATTTCCTTAAAGGATACATATTGTACTTAAAAATTACTAATTTGCTCCTAAAAATTTCTTATTTTAACAGCTACACTTACTAACATATTGTACAGAGCAGTGATATAAAATTATGGTTGTAGTCTAAAAATAAAAACTGTAGTTGTGCTAATCTGCATATAATGTGGCTAAATATGTGGAATTAAATAAAAATTAATCATAACTATACACATAGTATTCTGCACTTGACTATGTAAATGTGTAAAAAAAACATTCAATAACTACATATATTAAACAAAAACTTGTAATCACACATTTTAAACAAACATTTCACTTACTTCTTTCCATGTGATCTCTTTCCTTAAGCCTGTGAGAATACGATTTGTTGAGATGATGAGGACTGTGTCGATTATCAAGACTACCACTTCTTCCACCTGGGGATTCATGCATCTTATTGTTATAGTGTTCACCGTAGTTTGATTTTCCAATATAACTTTCAGTGTTCTAGCAGAAAAAAAAAGGGTATAAACTTTTCCATAAAGATTACAAAGAATGAAATAAAATTTAAAATAAGTTTTTTTGTTTTCATCACCATATTTTGGTTGAACAAGACATCAACATATTTCCTCCTACAAGAAATAGATTAAGACACCAATAAGTCTTATGATAACAATGTTCCCTTAATTCTAGTACCAACAATAAAGAATTAGAGTCCATACTACAAATGCAACTGATAGTATTTTGTTATGATGCCAAATACTGAATATTTTATTAAGTAATTTGGCCAAATAGTTGATATATTTATTTAAACAAACAGTCCAATGTTTTAATAACCTCTGCATTCACTGATGATTATGGAAAGCTTAAATTGAAAAAAAAAAAAGTCTTGAGTGTAATTACTTTGAAATAATTGGTAATAATAAATGGAAGTCTAAGTTGTGTAGCATATCAATTTCACTTGGTGGCAAAAACAAAATCACTTCTACTAGCCCAAAGCACAATTATATGTTCAATACTAAAGGACTTCCAAAAGATTTTAAAGACACTTTATCTCATATTTAAGGTAAGATTTTGGCCTCACATTCTGAGGTATTTACCAAAGAACTTCATTATTTAGCAGCATTAACAAAAAAATTAAAATATGGGCATTAATGATTAATCATGCTTATAAATTACACTGTGGACTCGGCAAAATGATTGTGCTGGATAACCAGCCATATTCAAGTGTTAATAATAAATATGAAAGCCACAAATTGCTAATATTTTTTTAAAGTCCTTGAGTAGTGGGCTGTGTGGTGAGGCACATAGGATTTTATGTTGTATTTACAGAAATGGTGAATATAAATCTAGAGAGTTGTAATTTCATTGTATATGTCACTGGTTAGGCTTCATTTGGAGTATTGTGTTCAGTCTTGAATTCAAGGTACAACAAGGGCCTGTTTGTTCATTGAGGGTGTCCCTTCTAAATTAAGAAAAAAAAGTATTATAAATAGATAAATAATTGAACAAATCCAGTTTTGATAATTGAAGTATTTATTGAGCCTTTCCTTAAAACTTCCTTAAATTTACTACAACCATCACACTCAATTTCCAACCATCCTGTTAGAAAAAAGTAATACTTTCTAAGCCAAATACGACTCCCACCCTGCCCAAATGTATGTTAATTCCCCCTTGTTCCACCATTTTCACCATTTATATACAAATGAAGATTATGTATTGATACTATCAGCTCCCTTAATAATCTTGACCACATTAATCAGATCCCTTCCAGCTCTTCTTTTTCTTTTCAACAGAAAACAATTTCAGAGATCTTAACTTGCCTTTGTATGACAACCTTTACATCCCAGTTATCATCCTATTAACTCTCCTTTGAACCATTTCTGACAGTTATATGTCCTTCTTAAGGAAAGGGGCGTTATAAGGGATTTTTTCTGTTATAGAGCTGGACAATTTAATCATTAAATCAAAACAGAGTCAAAAGGAAACAAAAGCTTTTTTGCAGTTTTCTGAAATCAACACATCTGGATCTACAGCAATCTAGTCAAGACTTCAACCAATAACCGATTATTTCTAAATTAATACAACATTATAAATGTCAATTAAACATTGCCATGTTAAATTTTTGCATCCCGCTTGCTTTTCCAGACACACTAACAATGTGTTTATACTTTATTAGAGGTTTGTTTTCATCAAAGTTTTAGTATTGTTTAGAACACCAATAGCTCTTATAACATAAAATTGTTACAGAATCAGTTTGTCCTTCAAGAAGAATACATTAATGTTATTTTAACTTTGTTCACTTATTTAGGTCATTTTAGGATCATGTTATTAATGATGATTACTCCAAAATAGTACATTATTTTTATGGAAGTCTCTTCATGTAAAAAATACCAAAGAATATTGTTAGATTGTTACAAACCCAACTTTTAAAAAGTTAACTTGTACCATGCCATCAATGTAAACATTACTGCAGCTAGTATGAAGAACGTAAACATTGTTGTTACTTGTTATATTATATTATGTGAATAAACTAATTTTATTCCTATTCATTCCCTAATAGCTTTCAAAACTTTATAAGATGAAGTTATAGGTATCAATTTTTTTTTTACAAAATAAATTGGTATTATTCAAATTTTTATGTTGTTTGACTTTAAATTTAGATTAGTTAAAGAATATCCAAAAATACTAATTGTGTCTTTGGCTAGGTTACTCATTTGCTGAATAAATAAAATTAATTATGGTTATTCATTTCTCTTGATTCATTACAAATAATTTGAATAACTCTGTAGTTATAGAGAAAACACTCAAGATCCAAACACTGTCATAAACTAGGGATGCTAGACTACGTTTAATGTATTAAACGTTTAAATTTTTAAAAAAGTTTAAGGTTTAAACATTATTATATCAATTAAAAAAAAAAACACTGAGAAAGTGCAATTACTTTCTTATGCAAATAGTTTATATAAACCACCACATAATTCTATAAATATAAAAAAACAATGAAGTAACATGAAAAATAATTGGCTCTGGAGTACAATAATGGCCTGTTTTGATTAGACAGTGAGAATTAATCATACTACTACAGAAATAGTATGCTAGTGATACTAGCTTATATTTGCACAATTGTTTATCCAAGCTCCTCATCTTCTGCACTATATTCAGCAACATGCTTCATTTCGATGTGACTTAAAATTGTTCTTATACTACCCGTATAAATAAGTGCTCAAAAGCACATCCTAAACTTCACTTTTTGGTATCTCTAAACAATAATAAATATAAAATAAAAGAAGCTATTTTGATAAAGGAATACAAACCTATGATATTTAAAACACAAAGAGTAGGTTTATACCTATGTTCAGCACAAGGTTGTGTTTGTGACATCATACATTGGGTGTATTTAATTGTTGTGCTTAGTTGTTCTAAGTACCTGATAATACCACCTTAACAGTGGTGAAATGTTGTTTTTAAATTATATATATTTTCTTTAGTCCATTTAACTGATTTCTGAATTTTTAAAATAGGAGACTATTCTGGCAATGTGTCAAAAACATAGTTGCCTTTCAAAATGATTAAACCATCATTTCTGAAATTAATTACCATACTTGAAAAACCTGACAATTGTTTTTTGTTTTGATTATTCAAATATATATATATATGTATGTATGTATGTATGTATGTATACACATAGAATATATATATTTTCATAATGCATTTATTTTTTTGTCTAATATTCATTTTAATAGTAGTATCTATTTGTTCAATATATAACTTATTAGTAAGAATAATTACAGCAATATAGTGAAGTTTTGTAAAACGGAGTGTCAGCATGGCATATTTGTACAAATGCAGCTTTAAGATGAAATAAAAATCTTGCTATCTGTCGTAATGCCATGTGCAAAAGGAGGAAGTAGACAATGAAAGAATCTTTGAGCAGTTCTTAGTTTTTTAATATTCAACTTGTATATTTTTAATGTTTCACAGATGAAGTAAAATTCAAAATGTTTGATATTTGGCTAATGTTTAAACTCTTAAGCTATTAACACCCTTATCATAAACATGTAAAACAATAATGAATTGTCTGGAATAACAAGACTAGAAAATGCTATAACATGTTTTTTCTTTCCACCAAACATAAAAATTAAAATATAATCTGTAACATACGTCTTATTATTATTTGATCTGTTGTGCTATCTGCTTAGAGCAGTAAACTAAGAAATACAGTAAGCTCTCTTATAATGGTGATGTGTATATAATATTACTGTAGTTTTTAAGTCTTTTTTAGGTTGTCATTTAGTAACCTAAAGAAACCTATAACATCATCATCAAACAATTGGTCTACCACACGATACCAAATAACAAATTTGGCATGATGTTACAACATTATACATATACAGAAATTAATTTAGTTTAGTAAATGGTGAGTTACAAAGTACTTAAACACAGCATAAATATTATAAGTCTGGAAAAGTGTTTGTTTGTTTCTTTTGAATTTCGCACAAATGCTACACGAGGGCTATCTGCACTAACAGTCCCTAATTTAGCAGTGTAAGACTAGAGGGAAGGCAGCTACTCATCACCACCCATCGCCAACTCTTGGGCTACTCTTTTACTAACAAATAGTGGGATTGAACATCACATTGTAATGCCCCCACAGCTGAAAGGACAAGCATGCTTGGTGGGACGGGGGTGTGAAAATTTTTATCATGTGGTGAAAGAAATATGAAAAGCCAGAGGAAACCATGTTTTCAGACTTCAGGAGCAATGATTTATAATTTACTTTTTAAATTCTAAGTGCTGTACATGAAAATGTATCATACACAATGCAACTGCTTTGTTTAATGTTTAAAAACAATAAAGATCTTATTTGCTTATCAGTCATCTGTTGCAACAATACTGTGTACACTTTTCCAGATGGCCAGGTCGTTAGGGAGCTCGACTCGTAATCTGCGGGTTGCTGGTTCAAATCCACAAATTTTAAAGTTAATTTGTTAGTTTGCTAGCCTTAATTTGGAGCACTGACCTTGTTGTAGAAGTTAACCTATACATGTACAATATGCAAATATTCCAGCAGCAGCTAACATGTACACTATATGGATAATATTCCAGTAAATAGTTAACATATACACGTACACTGTACAGATCATATTCCAGTTCTTTTTATTTTTAACCTTTTTTAAATAAAATGATTTATCAAGCTTTTCATACATTTTTTTATAAGTAAACACAATTGACATAAACATGCTATTTAAAATTATGTGTAAAATAAACAGTTAAAGACTTATGCTTGGTTATCAGTTTATTTTCAAGAGTTAAATTCTTAAATTCTAACTGATTAGCTAGAAGTTTTTCAATAATAATAGCAGACCAACTTTCAATAAGATAAATATATCAAAATAAAAAAATTACTTTTTTCACAGCATAAAATAATTTCAATATTGGCATACTAATTTTACAAGAATAATATTGAACTTAGAAATTTTTGAGCTACAATATGATCTAAATTT